AGCTTTCCCAAAGCTGAAGCAAGAACATGTTGATGGATGACAACAGAGTTGTGGTCCAATGCATCTGGGGATTGGGGAAAGTTGCATTAGAGACAAAGGAGATGTTCTAATAGAAGAGAATATGTATAGCTCAGGATTGAACTGTGGAGTCCTTGGTGCTCTCTGAGCTTGGTTGTCTGCTTGCAGATGTTTCATTACCCAACTAGGTAACATCATTAGTGTGAGTGAATGTGGGGTTTTCTCCCTGTTTATATACAGTAGCTTGCCCTGCCAGTGTTGGTGGGGGTGTGGTTTTCTCCTTGGTAGTTCCTTGATTAGGGGTATTGTTTTCTGCTTGATTGTTTGTCTGGTGTTAATCCCTGCTTATCTGGGTGTAGACTCCTGGAGAGAATGTGCTCTGGTCTTTTTGTTTCTTTCTTAGCTTTTTTACTGCCTCTTTTGAATGGTGTGTAAATGTGGTTTATTATGTGTCTGTTGATGGCTACCTTGTCTGAATACCAAGCTTCCAAGAATTCTCTCGCATTCTTGGATTTAGCTTGATCTAGGATGCTCAGTTTCCCACTTGAAACCATGGTTGAGTCTGTCCATGTGTTGTGAGATTAAGGAATTTTCATCATGTCTTCTGACTGCTAGTTGGTATTCATGGATGCATTCTGCTAGTCTTCTGCCTGTCTGTCTCACATAGTGGCTGTTACAGTCCTTACACTGTATGTTGTAGATGGATCCTGTTTTTTCTTCTTGAGATACTGGATCTTTTGGTTTACTTAAGATGTTTTGGAGGGCTTCAGTTGGTCTGTGTGCTACGGTGATGCCGTGTGGTTGTAATAGTCTTCTGATTGCTTCTGAGATGTTTTTGATGTATGGCAGTGTTATCCTTTTCATAACTTATGTTGGTTGTGCTGTAGTGGGTTGAGTGGTCAGGCACTTTTTAATAAAGCTGGGTAGATATCCATTTTGTTGGAAGATGTTGTATAGGCAGTCTGTTTCCTTTTTCTAGTGTTCTAGGTTGCTGCAGTACATTTGTACTTGTCTGAATAATGTTCTTACACAGCTCCTCTTGTGGGGGGGTTGGGTTGTTACTTTGATAATGGAGCACTTGGTAGTTTTTCGATAGACTTGCATTTCTAATTTGCCATTGTTTCCTCTGCTGATGAGGATATTCAGGAAGGGTAGTACGTTGTTGTTTTCTTCTTCCCTTGTGAAAATCCTTCCTGGATATCCTCATCAGCAGAGGAACTTAGCTTAGACGGTATAGAGTGAAAATAGCATTACATATTAAAGTGTGCTTAGGAAGCTTCAAGAAATCTTCATAATAGGAGTCAATTTTTATGCCAGTTGCTTTGGTACTATGCCTGGAAATAATCTGAGCAGTACACCCAGAAGCTAGTAGATACCAGACAAGCTTAGGTGGAAGGATTTGATTTTTCAGCTGAAAATATTACATGACATTTGATTCTAATAAGTAGTCCTCTCCTGGCATAATATTCCACTCAGATAGAGGTACTTATTTATTTGGACGTTCCTGTCCCACTTTTCTTTATAATACATCAAAAGCAGATTACAAAAATACTTTTAAAATCTCCAAATAACTGAAAACAATTTCCTCTAATAAGAGGATAAAACAAGGAGAAAGGAACTAAAAGCAATTCTTTGCATTAGAATATTGATAGAATGAAAGCTTTGAGTAGAATGCTTGATCCTTAAAGGATTCAACTACACATCTTCATGAAGGATGTTCTGTGGTCTGGGGAATGTTAATATTATGCAACTGGCCTTCCTTACTCATGAAGTCCATGTTTAGTTCTCTGGGTTTTTTTCCTGCATCCTCCAGCATTTTTTGTACCAGAAGAATTTTGTAAAAGAGAGAAGGCAGACAAGTGCCCCCATCTGCATACGCTACCACTACATTCCCACACCAAGCCTTACTGAAGTTTGGCTTTTCACATTGAGTAAGGTCAATAAGGCCACTTTGTGACTAAACTAGAAGATCTTAACTATGGGTTAACAGTGTCAGCTGTGGCTTAGTGCTTTGGGTGAACATTTGTGTCTCTTTAAAGTACATAAACCATGGCTGGATTTAAGCATAATGTGATTACTTTGGTTCTAGCATTGTGTGTTAAATGGCTCCTACTAAGTGAGTCTTATTCAACAAACCATGGTTGATGGCTCAGCAAGACATTTGAAGTCATTGGGTAAATTAAGGAGGAGAGGGAATAGAAGGGAACTTCTATTATTTTTATTTTTTGTTCATTTTATATCCCACATTTCCCATAAGTGGAAAGTGGCATCTGCAGCACTTCCTCCTCCATTTTTTTCCTACAACAATAACATTGAGGGAGAGGTTAGGCAAGTGGCTGACCTAAAGTCTCCAGTAAGCCTCCATATCTGAGGTGGATCTGAACTCAGGTCTCCCAGATTCTGATCCCATTCCTTAACCAGAGTTTCCTAATTTAATTTCTTGTTCAGGAAACCCCTGTCTCATTCTATGAAGATTTCCCTTTAAAATATACTTCTCTTTGTTCATATATTTATACATCTCATTTGCCGTATCTGATAAAACATTTCAGCTTTGAAAGAACCATTCCATCACGTGGAGCAAAAACCTAGCACTCTTACGCTCAAGGGTTCAGTCAATTGCAAGCTCCTTGTTCCCAGTCCATGAAGTCCCTCCAAGAAAGATGGAACACTTATGCTCAGCCTCCATTGATCTTTCACTCGTCAGCTCTGTAGCAGGAGGTATAGTACATGGCTCTTGCATTCCTCCATAGGGAAGGATAGCATGGCAGTATAAGCTTATACAGATTTACTCAGACCTCAAGGCCTGCTGTATTAAAAGTGTACCCCGAAATTAACCCTGGATGAGCAGAACCCTCTATATACAGTAGGTGTATATGTTATACTCAATTGAGTTCTCTGCTTTTTCCGCTTTGCACTTTCTCTTAGGACACTCATCAATTTTGAAATTCACTAATTTCATTGTGAAACAAACTAGAACATATTGATCTTTGCTTGAAAGATCTTCTTTTGAGAAGGTGGAGAGCCACTGAAACAGGCATTGGCTCTGCCAGACTATAGGCCCCCTGAGTGTGTCTAGTGCCATTATTTTGCAGCAAGATGTTTGTTGCCCAGGTGATACTGAGTCATCCTTAAAAAAAAGTTAGCCAGAGGGATGAAGCTGGGCCATGCAGTGGTATCGGGGAGCCATTAACATTCATTGCTCTACTCCCACAAGCCCTCAGAGAACGTGTGTCTAAATTCTGATCAGGCTCATTCTGCTTCTGGAACACTGGCAGAAGTACAGAGACAGACAGAATTGTGCTCCAGAAGCACTTAAGCCACTGTCTAGGACAACACTAGAGGCAGAAAGCAAGGAAGACAACAACATCCTGCCCCAGACCAAAACTCAGGTTGGAGGGAAGGGGTGACAGAGAGACTAGTCACAAGTTCATAGAGATGCTGAACCCAATGGGAAATGGCACCAAGCAGTGGAAAAGACATAATATAGCCTGTGGATGTCTGAGGGAGGAAGAGGAAGAGGCAGATGGATCACCAGATGGCCAGAATACCTGAACCAAGAGAAGGCAAAGTTTTTCCGCTATTGCATTCAGTCTTTGTCCCCTGTGCTGATGGAGGCTTTTAAAAACACAGCGGGAGTAAGAATTGAGAAATGGCTAATAGGAAAAAAAAAAAAAGGCTGCAAAACATACAAAATGAAGTTAGACAGGAATAAAGTGAAAATTAATTCATTCCAAGAATTACACTTAGAAAGCAGGTTCTCTGCCATGCAGAAAACTGACAAAAGCCATACTGCTGAATTGTCTGTTGCTAAGTTATGGTTAGGGTTGGGAAAGGCCACTCAGTATCTGGAGGCACATATAACCTGCAAGCACCTGCCCTAAACTTAATCTAATCTGCCTATGTCTTGCTCCATCATCAGGCTGGCCCCCTCCCAAAGAATCTAGTATTCCATGCAGATCAAAAGAGAGAAAGGCCCACAATTGACTCATGCTACCATTCAGTTTCCTTTTAATGGACAGCTGGCTTCTTAACGTTGGAGGTCCAGATTCCAGGGCACTGACTCTTCGACACCTCATGACCTATGACCACCAGGGGACAGTAGGGGGTAGATAAAGAGTTAATTTCCTCTAGGTCCCCTCTTTGTGTAAGAGATTGCTGCTGTAAGATCATTTCCTTCTGCTTTCCTTCCAGAGAACTCATGCATGGGGCACATGCTCTTAGATTCTCTTCCTGGTAGAATGTAGCTAGTTAGGTGACAGGCGTTGCCTATCCTTCTAGGGTCATTCCTATAAATAAACACATCTCCTTCTGGTATAGTTATAAAGCCTGCTTCACTAATCCTTCCTTGGGTCAGATCCCTGCTGTCAGGAATCCCCATGTGCACGTGCAGAAGGCTTCAACCATCACACTTAAAAGTAATCTTGGTGACTTTTCCTGACAGTGCGATGGAGCCTTAAAAGGCATGGAAAAGCAATGTCAAAATTCACATCAAACCTATTCTTCCTTCCAAATAAGTATGTTCTTAATTCTTGTGCTGTTATATATCTAAGTCCCCATGTTAGCAGCACAAATCATTGTCCTTGCAGCTGGTTGTGTACTCCTGTAACTAGCCAGAAACTCCTAGCAAAGGTTATCTGCTGCTCAGTTCTAGCAACAGCTCTACGGAAGCTGCAGAGTTTCCACTCTGTGGAATCTCTGGAGCAGATGTGGCATATTTGATGACACTCTGAACAGAAAGGCGTGTGACTTTGATGACTGACAGTTTTACTATTCCTTGGAAGAACCGGTTTAGTCACCGCCACACCCAATGCTTTTCTGGATGACAGGGCATTTGTTGAAGGAAAAAAAACCAAACCCCCCCCCACCCTTCTCACACCCCTTTTGCCCCCCATACATGAGTATATACAACAGGTACGAATGGCTTCTGGGAGAATTGTGCAGCCTCCTTGCTTCTCTGCAGTCCAAGGAGACCAGATGCCAATATGGATGAACCTTCTGCCCCTTTCACTGTCGTGTTCTGGCAGGTGCTGTCAGCCTGCCTCTTTGGCCCCTGGTTGCCTCTGACAGAGTACAGCCCTTCTCAGCAATGGGATGCAGTCTATGCTGCCCCAGGTAAAGTTCATGAGCATTTTAGGACAACCAGACAAACTCCTTTGGAGTTAATGTCAACTAAAGAAAGCCAGGGTTCTGGAGCTCCTTTTTTGAAAAGCTAAGTTGACCTCCATCTATTCCGGTGATTCTCAACCTTTTTGAAGCTGCCGCCCCCCTAAGGAGCGGAAAATTTTTCAATGCCA